TCGGGGACGGGAAGCGGGGAATCGGGGACGGGAAGTGGGGAACCGGGGACGGGAAGTGGGGAACCGGGGACGGGAAGTGGGGAGTCGGGGACGGGAAGTGGGGAACCGGGGACGGGAAGTGGGGAACCGGGGACGGGAAGTGGGGAGTCGGGGACGGGAAGTGGGGAACCGGGGACGGGAAGTGGGGAACCGGGGACGGGAAGTGGGGAACCGGGGACGGGAAGTGGGGAGTCGGGGACGGGAAGTGGGGAGTCGGGGACGGGAAGTGGGGAACCGGGGACGGGAAGTGGGGAATCGGGGACGGGAAGTGGGGAACCGGGGACAGGAAGCGGGGAACCGGGGACGGGAAGTGGGGAACCGGGGACGGGAAGTGGGGAGTCGGGGACGGGAAGTGGGGAGTCGGGGACGGGAAGTGGGGATCCGGGGACGGGAAGTGGGGAACCGGGGACGGGAAGTGGGGAACCGGGGACGGGAAGTGGGGAATCGGGGACGGGAAGTGGAAATTATGGACAAGAAATGGAAATTACAGAGCGGAAGTGGACAGGAACTGGGAATTATGGACAGGAAGTGGAAGTTCAGCCCCCGGCCCTCAGCCCCGCCCCCCGGAGGGTCCCGAGAGTTTTCTTTATCCGTTCTGAGGTGCTGCTGTCAATCAGGGGCCCGGCTGGGGGGTGACGTCATCGACAGTGTCCTGATGGACAGTCCCGGGACGGCCGGCCCCGCCCCCGGCCCTCAGCCCCGCCCCCCGGAGGGTCCCGAGAGCTTTCTTTATCCGTTCTGAGGTGCTGCTGTCAATCAGGGGCCCGGCTGGGGGGTGACGTCATCGACAGGGTCCTGACTGACAGTCCCGGGACCCCAGGCCCCGCCCCCGGCCCTCGGCCCCGCCCCCCAGAGGGTCCCGAGAGTTTTCTTTATCCGTTCTGAGGTGCTGCTGTCAATCAGGGGCCCGGCTGGGGGGTGACGTCATCGACAGGGTCCTGATGGACAGTCCCGGGACGGCAGGCCCCGCCCCCGGCCCTCAGTCCCGCCCCCCGGAGGGTCCCGAGAGTTTTCTTTATCCGTCCTGAGGTGCTGCTGTCAATCAGAGGCCCGGCTGGGGGGTGACGTCATCGACATTCTCCTGACGGACAGTCCCCGGGACGGCCGGCCCCGCCCCCGGCCCTCGGCCCCGCCCCCCCGGAGGGTCCCGAGAGTTTTCTTTATCCGTTCTGAGGTGCCGCTGTCAATCAGGGGCCCGGCTGGGGGGTGACGTCATCGACATTCTCCTGATGGACAGTCCCGGGACCCCAGGCCCCGCCCCCGGCCCTCAGCCCCGCCCCCCGGAGGGTCCCGAGAGTTTTCTTTATCCGTTCTGAGGTGCTGCTGTCAATCAGGGCCCGGTTAGGGGGTGACGTCATCGACAGGGTCCTGACGGACAGTCCCGGGACGGCCGGCCCCGCCCCCGGCCCTCGGCCCCGCCCCCCGGAGGGTCCCGAGAGTTTTCTTTATCCGTTCTGAGGTGCTGCTGTCAATCAGGGGCCCGGCTGGGGGGTGACGTCATCGACATTCTCCTGATGGACAGTCCTGGGACGGCCGGCCCCGCCCCCGGCCCTCAGCCCCGCCCCCCGGAGGATCCCGAGAGTTTTCTTTATCCGTTCTGAGGTGCTGCTGCTGTCAATCAGGGGCCCGGCTGGGGGGTGACGTCATCGACAGGGTCCTGACTGACAGTCCCGGGACGGCCGGCCCCGCCCCCGGCCCTCGGCCCCGCCCCCCGGAGAGTCCCGAGAGTTTTCTTTATCCGTTCTGAGGTGCCGCTGTCAATCAGGGGCCCGGCTGGGGGGTGACGTCATCGACATTCTCCTGACTGACAGTCCCGGGACGGCCGGCCCCCGCCCCCGGCCCTCAGCCCCGCCCCCCGGAGGGTCCCGAGAGTTTTCTTTATCCATTCTGAGGTGCCGCTGTCAATCAGGGGCCCGGCTGGGGGGGTGACGTCATCGACAGGGTCCTGACGGACAGTCCCGGGACCCCAGGCCCCGCCCCCGGCCCTCAGCCCCGCCCCCCGGAGGGTCCCGAGAGTTTTCTTTATCCGTCCTGAGGTGCTGCTGTCAATCAGGGGCCCGGCTGGGGGGGTGACGTCATCGACATTCTCCTGACTGACAGTCCCGGGACGGCCGGCCCCGCCCCCGGCCCTCGGCCCCGCCCCCGGAGGGTCCCGAGAGTTTTCTTTATCCGTCCTGAGGTGCTGCTGTCAATCAGGGGCCCGGCTGGGGGGTGACGTCATCGACATTCTCCTGACTGACAGTCCCGGGACGGCCGGCCCCGCCCCCGGCCCTCGGCCCCGCCCCCCGGCGGGTCCCGAGAGTTTTCTTTATCCGTCCTGAGGTGCTGCTGTCAATCAGGGGCCCGGCTGGGTGGTGACGTCATCGACATTCTCCTGACGGACAGTCCCGGGACCCCAGGCCCCGCCCCCGGCCCTCGGCCCCGCCCCCCGGAGGGTCCCGAGAGTTTTCTTTATCCGTCCTGAGGTGCTGCTGTCAATCAGGGGCCCGGCTGGGGGGTGACGTCATCGACAGGGTCCCGCCAAACTCCCGCCCGCCGTTGTGGTTTCGTTACTTATTTCTTATTTTGATTCCTCGCGGCGCGGTGACGTCACCGAGCGTGGTGGGCGGGGCCTGACCGTGTGACGGACAGGCGGAGCCCGGGACCCGCGCGCCGCCATTTTGTACGGATTCGTTATTTCTTTTCTTTTTTTTTAATTCCGCCGCGCGGTGACGTCACCGGGCGGAAGACGGACCCCGGGGAGGGGGCGGGGCCACAGGGACGTGACTGACAGGCGGAGCCCGGAGACCCGCCGCGGACCCGCCCGCCATTCTGTTTATTTTCCTTTTTGTTTTTTTTTTTTTCCATCAGCTCGCCGCGCGGTGACGTCGTCACCGGCCGAGTGGGCGGGGCCTCGGGGCGTGACTGACAGGCGGAGCCCCGGGAACCGCCCGCCATTTTGTATTCGTTATTTCTTTTTGTCTCTCGCGCTCGCCGCGCGGTGACGTCACCGGCCGGGGTGGGCGGGGCCTCGGGGCGTGACTGACAGGCGGAGCCCCGGGAACCGCCCGCCATTTTGTATTCGTTATTTCTTTTTGGCTCTCTCGCTCGCCGCGCGGTGACGTCACCGGCCGGGGTGGGCGGGGCCACAGAGACGTGACTGACAGGCGGAGCCCCGGGAACCGCCCGCCATTTTGTTTCCCATTATTTATTTTCTTTCCGTCCCGCCGCGCGGTGACGTCACGGGGCGGGGCCTCGGGCCCGGGGTGGGCGGGGCCGGAGTGACTGATTGACTGGCGGGGACCCGCCCGCCATTTTCTTTCCCCTTATTTTTCACCCGCGTCCCGCCGCGCGGTGACGTCACAGGGCGGGGCCTCGGGCCCGGGGGTGGGCGGGGCCGGAGTGAGTGACTGACAGGCCGAGCCCCAGACCCGCCCGCCATTCTGTTTCCCCTCATTATTGGTTTTTTCTCCGCGTCCCGCCGCGCGGTGACGTCACGGGGGGCGGGGCCTCAGAGCCAGGGGGCGGGGCCTGACCGAGTGACTGACAGTCCGAGCCCCGGACCCGCCCGCCATTTTGTTGCCCCTCATTATTGGTTTTTTCTCCGCGTCCCGCCGCGCGTTGACGTCACGGGGCGGGGCCTCGAGCCCGGGATGGGCGGGGCCGGAGTGAGTGACTGACAGGCCGAGCCCCAGACCCGCCCGCCATTCTGTTTCCCCTTATTATTTATTTTCTTTCCGTCCTGCGGAGCGGTGACGTCATGGGGGCGGGGCCGGAGTGAGTGACTGACAGGCGGAGCCCCAGACCCGCCCGCCATTTTGTTTCCCCTTATTATTTATTTTCTTTCCGTCCCGCCGCGCGGTGACGTCACGGGGCGGGGCCTCGGGACCGGCGTGGGCGGGGCCGGAGTGAGTGACTGACAGGCCGAGCCCCAGACCCGCCCGCCATTCTGTTTCCCCTCATTATTGGTTTTTTCTCCGCGTCCCGCCGCGCGGTGACGTCAGGGGGCGTGTCCGCGGGCCCGGGGGTGGGCGGGGCCGGAGTGAGTGACTGACTGGCGGGGACCCGCCTGCCATTTTCTTTCCCCTTATTATTTTTCACCCGCGTCCCGCCGCGCGGTGACGTCACGGGGAGGGGCCTCGGGCCCGGGGGTGGGCGGGGCCGGAGTGAGTGACTGACAGGCCGAGCCCCAGACCCGCCCGCCATTTTGTTTCCCCTCATTATTGATTTTTTCTCCGATCCCGCCGCGCGGTGACGTCACGGGGCGGAGCCTCGGGCCCGGGGTGGGCGGGGCCGGAGTGAGTGACTGACAGGCCGAGCCCCAGACCCGCCCGCCATTTTGTTTCCCCTCATTATTGATTTTTTCTCCGATCCCGCCGCGCGGTGACGTCAGGGGGCGGGGCCTCGGGCCCGGGGGTGGGCGGGGCCGGAGTGAGTGACTGACAGGCCGAGCCCCAGACCCGCCCGCCATTTTGTTTCCCCTCATTATTGATTTTTTCTCCGATCCCGCCGCGCGGTGACGTCACGGGGCCGTAGCCTCCGAGCCAGGGGGCGGGGCCGGAGTGAGTGATTGACAGGCCGAGCCCCGGACCCGCCCGCCATTTTGTTGCCCCTTATTATTTATTTTCTTTCCGTCCCGCCGCGCGGTGACGTCACGGGGCGGGGCCTCGGGACCGGCGTGGGCGGGGCCGGAGTGAGTGACTGACAGGCCGATCCCCAGACCCGCCCGCCATTTTGTTTCCCCTCATTATTGGTTTTTTCTCCGCGTCCCGCCGCGCGGTGACGTCACGGGGCGGGGCCTCGGGCCCGGGGGTGGGCGGGGCCGGAGTGAGTGACTGACAGGCCGAGCCCCGGACCCGCCCGCCATTTTGTTTCCCCTCATTATTGGTTTTTTCTCCGCGTCCCGCCGCGCGGTGACGTCACGGGGGGCGGGGCCTCGGGCCCGGGGGTGGGCGGGGGCCGCGCAGGCGCCGTGGCCGCCCCGGGCGGACGGACCCGTCATGGCGGCGGCGGCGTCCCGGGTCCTGGCGCTGACGCTGACGCTGAGCCTGGCAAGGGCGGCGGCGGCTTCGGCCGGCGGCGGAGGCGCCGCTTCCGGTCCCGGCGCTTCCGGGGCGGCGGGCGGCGGCGGGGGGCGTGGCCGTGGCCCGGGCCCGCTGCGCCGCCCGGTGCCTGGGGCTGCGGCTGCCGCGGGGGACGCCGGGAGCGGAGGTGCGGGGGCCGCGCGGGCGGGCGGGCGTGCAAGACGCGCAACGCGTGTAAAGCGTGCAACGCGTGCAAAGCGTGCAAAGCGCGCAAGACGTACAGAGCGTGCAAAGCGTGCAGAGCGTGCAGAGCGTGCAAAGCGCGCAGAGCGTGCAAAGCGTGCAAGACGTGCAACGCGTGCAAAGCGCGCAAAGCGTGCAAAGCGTGCAACGCGTGCAAAACGTGCAAAGCGTGCAAAGCGCGCAAGACGTACAGAGCGTGCAAAGCGTGCAGAGCGTGCAAGACATGCAGAGCGTGCGAAGCGTGCAGAGCGTGCAGAGCGTGCAAAGCGTGCAAAGCGTGCAAAGCGTGCAAAGCGCGCAAGACGTGCAGAGCGTGCAAAACGCGCAGAGCGTGCAAAACGCGCAAAGCGTGCAAAGCGTGCAAAGCGTGCAACGCGTGCAAAGCGTGCAAAGCGTGCAAAACGCGCAAAACGTGCAAAGCGTGCAAAGCGTGCAAAACGCGCAAAGCGTGCAAACCGTGCAAAACGCGCAAAACGCGCAAAACGTGCAAAGCGCGCAAAGCGTGCAAAACGCGCAAAGCGCGCAAAGCGTGCAAAACGTGCAAAACGCGCAAAGCGTGCAAAACGCGCAAAACGTACGCGCACATGTGTGCGCAGGTGGACATGTGGGGGGCGGGGCCTCGGGGTCACGTCGGGGGTGACCCGGAAGTGACCCCCCCCCGCGCGTGTCCCCTGCAGAGCTCCGGGTCCCTGGACGGGTGTCGGCGCGACGGGCCGTGCGCGCAGGTGCGTGACCTCCGACCCCCGCGGGGGGCGCGGGGGGGGGGGGGAGGGTCGGGGGGGGGGTCGGGAGTCCCGGGCGGGGACCAGGACGCTCCACGCGTGCGCGTGTCGGGGGCCGGGGATGGGGTCATGAGACCCCACGGTGACCCCCGTGACCCCCGGGTGACCCCTGTTGACCCCGTGACCCCCGGGTGACCCCACGATGACCCCCGTGACCCCTTGACGCACGGTGACCCCCCGTATGACCCCGTGGTGACCCCGTGCCCCAGTGTCTGCGGCCGTGCCTGGAGCCCGGGGACCACGCCACCGACGCCGCGGGGACGACACGCCCGTGTCACGAGTTCTGCGAGGTACGCGCGCGCGACCGGGCCGGGGGGGGGGGGGGGACGGGGGGCCGGCCGGTGGGCGCGCGCGTGTCTCACCTGGGTTTGCGCGTTGGCACGTGTGTGTGTGTGTGTGGCAGGGGCCCAGGTCCGTGGCGTGCGTGTGCGCAGACGTGTGTGTCGGTGGGTTGTGTGCGTGCGCGTGCCTGCGTGTCTTACATGTGCGCGCGTGTCCGCGGGCCAGCATGGGACGCAGGCGAGGGGGCGCGTACGTCCCGGTCGCGGGTGCACGCGCGTGTGTGCCCGGGTCCGTGTGCGCGCACCTCTCTGCACGTCCGCGTGTCTGCGCACGTGTCACACGTGGGCGCCTGCCTGTGCCCGTGCCACCCACGCGCACACCCATGTGCACCTGGGCGGGTCTGCACGTGTCACACGTATGTGTGCGTGTGCGCGGATGATTGCGTGCGGGCGTCACGCATGTGCGCGTGTGTGCACGCACCTGTGTGCAATGCCTGTGTGTGTGCGTATCACGTGTGCCCGCGTGTGCCCGGGTCACCTGGGCCCGCGTGTGTGTCGGCGCACATGTGTCCCACGCGCCCGCACACCCCCGTGCCCCGCCCCCCCCCCCACCAGGGCTCCGAGTGCCTGACGAGCTGCGAGTTCCTGGCGTCCGTGCGACGCGTGAAGCAGGGCGCGTGTCCCGCCCCGGCCCGGGCCCGGGGCTTCGCGGCGGCGTGCGTGGAGAGCTGCGAGGCCGACGGCGAGTGCGCGGGCGCCCGGAAGTGCTGCGGGAACGGCTGCGGGCACACGTGCCAGGCGCCCCGGGCGCGGCACCCGCGGTGAGCGGGCGTGTGTGGGGGCGTGTGCGCGGCCTCTGCGTGTCCGGGGCGTGGGCGCAATCTGCGTGTGGGCGTGTCCCCGCGACACGGGTTGGCGGTGGGAGGGCCGGCGTTGGAGCCGTGGCGTGAGTTCCCGTGTGCGAGGCGTGTGTATCACACACGCATGTGCATCCTACAGGCACGTGTGTGCGTGGGGCGTGTGCGCAGAGCACGTGCGCCTGGGTGTGGGGAGGTGGTGGTGGGCACGCGCACCTTGGCGCACGGGGGCGTGGGGGACGTGGTGACACGCGTGTGCTCGGGTCCAGGACCGTTCGCCCGTGCACGTGTCTGTGCACACCGCCGACACACGCATGTCCGTATGCACTGTACGTGTGCGCTCACTCTCACACGTCTTCACATGCACGGAAACACGCACACACATACATAGACACATGGTGGGTATTGCGCACAAACGCGTGTACGCGTGGACAGACACGTGGACAGGTGACACATGTGTGCGCACACCACATGTGCACGGTCCCAGGTTCACGCGTGGGTGCGCGCACCTGGCTCCCACACACGAGCAGACGCACGCGCGCCGGCGAGCGCCGTGTCACGTCAGCACACGTGTGCCCGTGCGGGGTTGGACCCTCACACTCACAGGCCTGGACGCCGCCCCGCGCCACGCGTGTGTTGGGCGCGCACAGACACACGTGACATGCACAGGTTTGCACACGCAAACGCACAAGCGTGTCCGGGGTCACGCAAACACGTGTGTTCTGCCCACGCGCGTGTCTGCGCACGCACAGGCGCCCGTTTCACACCCACGTCTTCCCCGCACGCGCACACGCCCCACCACGCACGTCCACGACCCGCGAACCCCCCCCCCCCCCGCCGGGCCGCCCCAGCTCCCACACGCGTGTCCCGTGACCCCACGCGTGACCCGTGACACACTCCCCCCCGCCCCGCCCACCTCGCCCCGCCCAGGCGTGCCCCTGAAGCCGCGCCGGGACCTGCGCTTGGCGGAGCCCGCCCCCCGCCGGGGCCGCCGGAGGTCGCGTGGTCGGCGCCCGCGGTTCAACGTGTCGCTCGAGCCCGTGGTCTACGTGCTGCAGCGGCGCTGGAACCCGGGGCCGCACCCCAGCGAGGACCGGGCCACGGGGTGGGACACGGTGGCGCAGGTGAGCGCGCGCGCCGGACTCGCGTGACGACGACACGCCAGACGACACGCGTGAACACGCGTGACCACATGTGGGAACACGCGTGACGACACGTGTGAACACGCGTGATCGCGTGGACCGGGTTACCACGTGAGTGACGCACGTGACCCCCCGACCCCCCCCCCCCCCCCCGCAGACCACGGAGGAGCGCGCCCGCGTGCCCGCCCTGAGGCCCGGGCGCTGGTACCAGTTCCGCGTGGCGGCCGTGAACGCGCACGGGACCCGGGGCTTCACGGCGCCCAGCAAGCACTTCGGTCGGACCCGAGGTCAGCGCGCGCGGGGGTCACGCGTGGGCGGGGGGGTCACGCGGGGTCACAGCGTGGGCGGGGGGGGCGGGGGGGCGGGGGCGGTGCGAAAAACACACGTGTCCGTGTCGCGGGCGTGTAAAAAAAAACCTCGCCCCGCGGTTTTCACACGTGTCGTCCGCGTGTTCACGACCCCCCCGACACGCCGACCGCACCGCTTCCCGCGCGTGTCGCCCACACGCGCACACGGGAATCCATCCCTCGGGCACGCGGGTGACTTCATCCCCGTCCCCACCCCCCCCCCGGTTCCCCGCAGCGCCGCGGCCCCCCGCGGCCCCGACACGCCTGCGCGTGGGGAACTGGACGGCGGACGGCGGCGGCCGCGTGGAGGCGACGGTCACGTGGGACGGCCCCGCGGGCGACGCCGACGCCCCCACCGTGCGACGCTTCCGGGCGCGGTGGAGCCCGGGGTCGGGGCCCGGGGGGACGACGCGGAGGGCGACGACGGAATCCGTGAGTCCTGGCCGGGGGGGGGTCAGGTCGGGGGTCACGCGTGTCTGTCGTGTGTCCCACACGCGTGTGCGAGCATGTCATATGCGTGTGCAAGCATGTCGCACACGCGTGTGCATGGCGTGTCGCGGGCGGCGCACACGCGTGGGCTGACCGGGGCTGACCCTCCCCCCTCCCCCCCCCGGCAGCGCTCCCTGGCCCTGGCGGGGCTCACGCCCGGGCGCGTGTACACGCTGCGGCTCCGCGCCGAGGCCTCCTGGGGGCGCACGCGGCTGCGGGGCGACACGGCGACGCTGCGGTTCGCGGCGGGTGAGTGACGGCGGCCCGGGGGGTGGGGGTGGGCCGGGCGTGACGTCGCGTGTTCCCGGCGTGACGTCGCGTGTTCTTCCCGTGACGTCGCGTGTTCTTCCCGTGACGTCGCGTGTTCCCGGCGTGACGTCGCGTGTTCCCGGCGTGACGTCACACGTGTTCCCGCCGTGACGTCGCGTGTTCCCAGCGTGACGTCGCGTGTTCCCGGCGTGACGTCGCGGGTTCTCAGCGTGACGTCGCGGGTTCTTGGCGTGACGTCGCGTGTTCCCGGGGTGACGTCGCGTGTTCCCGGCGTGACGTCGCGTGTTCCCGGCGTGACGTCACACGTGTTCCCGGCGTGACGTCGCGTGTTCCCGGCGTGACGTCGCGGGTTCCCGGCGTGACGTCGCGTGTTCCCGGGGTGACGTCGCGTGTTCCTGGCGTGACGTCGCTTGTTCTCAGCGTGACGTCGCGGTGTTCCCGGGGTGACGTCGCGTGTTCCCGGCGTGACGTCGCGTGTTCCCGGCGTGACGTCGCGTGTTCCCGGCGTGACGTCGCGCGTGCACGCGTGCGAGGCGCACGCTGACGCTCTCATCGTCCCGTGACAGGACCGCGCCCCACCCCGGGCGCCTGAGGACTGACGCGGTTCCCACGACGTCGACGACGCACGGGACACGGGACGGCGATCCGCGGGGACCCCGGGTGTGGGTGGGTGGGGGGGTGGGTGACGTCATCGTGGGCGGGGCCCCGGGGGGAAACTGTCCGTCACGTGCCCGGCCCCGCCCACCCAGGGGAAAAAAATTTTTCAAGGAAATTTCGAAATTAAAATTTAGAAATTTTTCCGAGAAATTCTGAGTTTTTGAAATTTTGGGAATTAAGAATTGGAAATCGAAATCGAAAATTTTCGTTCCCCGCGTGATATTGTGAGAAGGCCCGGGATTCACGCGCCGGATTCTCGCGGCGGCGTTTTCTAAAGTTAAATTTTAAATTTTTAAGAAAAATTCGCTGGAATTTCGTCGCGACACAGAAACGACGGCGTCAGTTCGTCCCCTGTCCTCGGCGGTTCCGGGACGCGGACCGCGCCCGGCGCGGCGGGAAACGCTTATTTATCCTCCGGGGAGAAAAAAAAAAGAAATCTGAAATTGTGAAAAATTTTGATAAAATTGTGAATTTGATTAAAATTTCAATAAAATTTTCAAAGTTTGAAAAACTCGTGATTTTTTGATGAAAAAACTTGACATCGATGAATAAAAAAAAAAACTCTCCGGGGGCTTTCTTTGTACGATTTCTCGCCGCCCGCGGCGTCGCAACGGAAAATCCGGGTTCCGGTAAAACCGTCGCCGGGGAGAACGGCGGAGTCTCGGCCGCGCCGCGCACACGCGTGTGATCACGGGGGGAGGGAGAGTTTGACACGTGTGAAAAGTCACGGCACGGGCCCGCGTGGCGGCGCTCAGGCCCGGTGCTCATGGTTTCCGTTTGGGGCCGTTTCCGTGACGTTTCTGGGGGAAAATAAAAAAAATGGGAAATTTCAAAATCAAAATTTGGAAAATTTGAAATTTTTAAAAAAATCTTGAAAGTTCACTCTCGATTTAAAAGCTGGACCGTGACCGACTTAGAGCTTCCGTGTTTTCGCGTTCCCCGTCGGCGCGGCGTCGAAATCGCCTTCCATGTCGCTTTCACGGCGAAGGACAAGAATTTTGAAAAAATCAATCGCGGTTTGAAAGCAGCGAAATCCTGAGCGCGGAAAATTTAAAAAAAAAAAATTTTAAAACAGTTCGGGGCGAATAAAAAAAAAAAATCGGTGTTTAAAAAAAAAACCCGAGGGCGACGGAAAACGGCGGACACGACGACGAATTTCCAAAATCAAATTTTAAAAAAACCTTCGGGGAAATTTGACATCGAAATGAAATGCCGTAAATTGGAAACTTGGAATCCCGAGGAAAAAAAATTTTAAATTTTGGATTCCGAGGAAAAGAAATTTGAAAAGAAATTTAAAAGTTGAAATTCGGAAGAAAAAAAACAAAAATTGAAAACTTGGAATTCCGAGGGGAAAAAAAAACTTTCAAATCTGGAATCCCCAGAAAAAAAAAAATTTTAAATTCTGGATTCCGAGAAAAGAAATTTAAAAGTTGGAATTCGCAAGAAAAAAAAAAATTTTTTAAAACTTGGAATTCCGAGGAGGAAAAAAAAAATATTTAAGCTTTGGAATTCCGAGAAAAAAAAAAATTTAAAATTTCAAATTCGGTAAACAAAAAAATTTTTTTTTTCAAAATTTGAAAAAAAAAAATTTTTTTGTGAAAAAAAGATTTTTTTAAAAAAAATTTTGCACAATTTTTTCGGGGGGGTCGCGGTGACGTCACGCGGGCGTCCTCGGCGACGCGGGAGACCCCGCCCCCTGGCCCCGGCCCCGCCCCCTCCGGGCCTCAGCTGTCAATCACAGGTCCTCAGCATATCGGGAAACGGGGAGTCCGGGGAGGGGGGCGTGGCCCAGCGCGGGGTGACGTCACCCGCCCGCCCAGGCCCCGCCCCGCCCCGTGACGTCACCCCGCGCCGCCCCCGCCGCCCAACGGGGCCGAGACATAAAAAAAAAACAAAAGAAAATGGGAAAAAAAAAAAAAAACGCCATTCAAAATGGCGGGCGACCCGCCATCTTGTGCCCGACGCCGCTGCCCCGCGCCGGGCGGAAGTCGGTCCCCGCGCCGGGCGGAAGTCGGTCCCGCGCCGGGCCGGGAGCCAACGGGACCGAGAAATAAAAACAGAAAAAGAAAAAAAAAAACGCGATTGAAAATGGCGGGCGACCCGCCATCTTGTGCCCGACGCCGCTGCCAGACTCCGGGCGGAAGTCGGTCCCGCGCCGGGCGGAAGTCGGTCCCGCGCCGGGAGCCCAACGGGACCGAGAAATAAAAAAAAACAGAAAAAGAAAAAAAAAAAAACTCCATTCAAAATGGCGGGCGCCCCGCCATCTTGTGCCCGACGCCGCTGCCCCGCGCCGGGCGGAAGTCGGTCGGGTGCCGGGGGCGGGAGCGGGGGGGCCGCGGTGGGCGGAGCTGACGTCACGGGGCCGCGCGGGGCAGTCTGGGGCGTCGGCGGCGGCGGGGGCGGCACTTCCGGCGAGGCCCCCGGCCGCCGCGGGGGGCGGCGACCGGAAGCGCCGCCATCTTGGGCCGGATGCGGTTCGTCCCCGGCCTCCGCGAGGGCGGCTGACACCGGAAGCGCCTCCCATTTTGGCCGGATGTAGTTCGTCCCCGGCCAGGGCGGCGGCCACCGGAGGCGCCGCCATCTTGGCGGCAGGATGTGGTTCCTCCCCGGCCTCCGCGGCCTCGGAGACCGGAAGTGCCTCCATGTTGGCCGGATGCGGTTCGTCCCTGGTCTCCGCGGCGGCGGCGGAGACCGGAAGTGCCGCCATCTTGGGCCGGATGTGGTTCGTCCCCGACCTCCGCGGCGGCGGCGGAGACCGGAAGCGCCGCCATCTTGGCCGGATGTGCCCTTCCGACGCAAAAAACCGAAAGGCACCGGCGCCGACGCGGACCGCGCACACGCGTGTGACCCCCCGACCCCCCCAACCCCGTTACCTCGATCCTCCCAAATGCCACACGGGTGCGCGTGTTCACACGCGTGCGCCCACGTGACTCCCGGAAACACGTCACACGCGTGTCCCTGAGCCCGCGTGTCACACGTGACCCGACCCCACCCCCCCCCCCCCCGCACACACACACCCCGGGTCGTACGTGACGTGACGTGACGTCACGCGCCTCCCGGACTTCCGGTCTCCGAGCGGGACTCCAAGAAAATCCTGCGCGAGCGCGCCGGAAGTGACGTCACGCGTCCCGGGCGCACACGGCGGCTGGGGGGCGGGGGTCCCGCGTCTCCGGGAGGCGCGTGACGTCACGTCACGTCACGTACGACCCGGGGGTGTGTGTGTGCGGGGGGGGGGGGGGGGGGGGGGGGGGGTGGGGGTCGGGTCACGTGTGACACGCGGGCTCAGGGACACGCGTTGTGACGTGTTTCCGGGAGTCACGTGGGCGCACGCGTGAACACGGGCCCACGCGTACGCGTGGGTCCCGCGTGCGCCGGAAACACGCGAGCGCGCGTGTGTGAACACGCGCACCCGTGTGGCATTTGGACGTGTCGCGTGTGCACACGCGTGTCCGTGTCCCCGCCCATCCCCCCGGCAGCCATGTCGACGCCGACGCCGCCCCCCGTGCACGTGTCCTTCTCAGCCGGCGGCTTCCTGGGCGTGTACGGGAGGATCGAGGTAACGGGGGTCGGGGGGTCGGGGGGTCACACGCGTGTGCACGGACGCGGGCGCGCGCGCGTGAAAAAAAAAAAACCGCGCGTGACGCGAACACGTCACGTGTTGCGTGTGCTATGGTCGCGGGTCGCGCAGGTCCGTGACCCGCGACACGTGACACGCGCTCCCCGGCGCCCACGTCCGGCCGTTCCCTGTGTGTTGCATGCACACGCGTGTGCACAGACACGGACGTCCACACGGGACGCGCGTACATCACATGTTGCGTGTTATTCGCGCACGCGTGAACACGCAACACGAGACACACGCTCCCCCGGCGCCCACACGGGGCGTCCCGTGCGCGTCCGGCCGTTCCCTGTGCACGCACACACGCGTGCATGCGTGTGTTCTGCGTGTTTCACAGGCGTGCACGCGGTTCGCCTACGACCTCGCGGAGGAGACGCGACCCCGGGGTACGACTTCATGGGCCGGCTGAGGTGCGTGTGCGTGTGGACACGTGCGTGGGGACACACGTGTGAGAGAACACGGACCATTCCGTGACGTCCCGTGTTCGCGTGATCATGGGCGCGACGCGGGTTCACACGCACACGCGTGTGACGTGCCGTCCGCGTGCCAGGGCCGGCGTGGAGCGGCTGCTCCCGGGAGGACCTGGTGCAGGTGAGCGGGGTCACGCGTGCGACGCGCACACTGGATTTGCACACGCGTGAGAACACACGCCAACACGCGTGCACACACGTGATGACACGCGTGTGTGCCCGCGTGGGCGCGCGCGACCTCGGCCCCGGCGTGTGCCCACGTCACACGCGCACGCCGGCCCCCGGCCCGCCCAACCCCACATCTCGCTCACGCGTGTCCCGTGTCCCCCCCCCCAGGTCCTCCTCGCCAGCAGCTTCGTCCCCGTGTACGCGGGGCTCGCGCCCGTGGAGTTCCAGGGCGAGGTAGGCGGGCGCGGGGCACGCGGGGTTGGTCGGGGGGGGGCGTCCCGGGGGGGCCCGTGACACGCCGCGTGTATGTTCCGTGTCGCACGCTCACGTGTTCTGCCGTGTCCCGTGTCCCGTGTCGCACGGCCGCGTGTCCTGGCGTGTTCCCGCGAGGGCTGGCTCCGGTGAACACGGGGTGGGCGCGCGTTCGCGGAGACCCCCGTATCCCACATGCGTGTGCGGCAGACACGCGTGGGCGGCGAGTCAACACGGGACGGACACGGACACACACGCGTGTGTCTGCGTGTCCGCGCGCGCCTCGGCGCCCCGACGACCCCCCCCCGGGACGGCATCCGGTTCCGCCCACCGCGTCCAGAGAGTGAGCGAGCGACACGCGTGTGGCGCGCGTGACTCTGTCCCCGGGACCCCGGGACGGACACGCCAGTAGGCGGGGCCCCGGGCTGGTGCTCGGGGGCGGGACTTCCCGTGGGGCGATGATTGATGGGCGGGGGGGGCCCCGGAATTTGAAACAAAAAATTTTCATTTTGGAAAATTTCAAAAATTTGCAAAATTTTTTTGTTTTTTTTCCGAATTTCGGTTTTTAAATTTCGAAATTAAAAAAAAAAAAAATATTCCGCCCACCCGGCGTGTTGTTGGCGTGGCGTCTCTAGTTTTTCTCTGGCGCGTTCGGTCGACCGTCGCGGGACGGGCGGGCGCCGAGGGTTAGATTTGAAAAATTAAATTTTCTTTTTCCTCCCGAAAATGGCTTTTTAAAATTCACGTGAATTTTTAGAAAGTTTTTTCAATTTTGTAAAAACTCACGTGAATTTTTTAAATTTTTTTTTCAATTTTCGATTTTTTATTTAAATTTGTTGTTTATATTTTTTTTTAACCTCTGTTTCCCTCCGTGTGCCTGAATCCACGGACGGAAACCTGAAAATTTAAATTCAAAAAATTTTCCAAGTCAGAAATTAGAAAAAAACATTTTTCCCGAAAAAATTAAAACAATCAAATTTGAAAAATTTCAAAATTAAAATTGAAATCAAACACTCGAAAATTTTTTTTTT